AGTAAAGATAACATTTTGAAAAATAATTTTACAAAACTTTTCGTCCAAATTTTTGTTTTTGACCCAAAATGACATGAAAGATTCACATTTTGACAGAAAACTTTATACAAAAATATATTTTAAAATGTTCTCTAAATGCCCTAATTTGATGGGAAACATGAAGACAAAGATACAATTTTGAAAAATATTTTCACAAAAATATTTGTCTAAATTTGTCAAAATTTGACCAAAAATGACACAAAAAGTTCAGATTTTGACAAAAGGTTCTAATAAAGAAATTTTGAAAAATGTTTTAAAAATGCACTAATTTGATGGGAAACATGCAGACAAAGATACAATTTTAAAAAATGTTTTTACAAAAGTTTTCATTAAAATTTGACCAAAAATGACCAAAAACGTTCAGATTTTGACAAAAAATTCTAATGGAAAAAATTTCAAAAAAATGTTTTCTAAATGCCCTAATTTGATGGGACATGCATACAAATATTTGGAATATGTTTTTCTTTCAGGTATAGTAGAAGAGTATCAGCTGCCCTACTATGACCTGGTGCCCACTGATCCTTCTTATGAGGACATGAGGGAAGTTGTCTGCATTAAGAAACAAAGGCCGTCATTTCCAAACCGCTGGAGCAGTGATGAGGTAATTTAAATGTGCCTCTACAATTTATGAAGACTAAAGAGCAGACAATGAGCACCACATGGTTCTCCTTTAGTAGTTTCCGCCCAATATATAAAAATAGAGTAGCATGTTCTCAAATGTCATGATTAAAACAATGATAAGAATTATTAGGAATTGATTTGAAGGGGTTAAGGTTAGAGTTACTCAGACTGGGGTCAGGGTAAAGGTTTCATATATACATATAACCACAATCCTAAATTTAATTTAGTTTTTGTCTAGTGCTGATTTTTAAACTAATTATTTCTTAACTGGTTAATAAAATTTTTCTTCCTTACATTTTCATCCGTATTCATATCTACTTCTGTCTGCAGTGTTTACGACAAATGGGCAAACTCATGTCCGAGTGCTGGGCCAACAACCCCGCCTCTCGCCTCACGGCCCTCAGGGTGAAGAAAACGCTGGCCAAGATGTTGGAATGTCAAGACATCAAAATGTGACAGGAAATGAAGAAAGATGTTGTCATCACATGGAGACCAGTCACTGCCACTGGCTCTACAGCGCTCACACTGGCCAATGAGAAAAAGGGAGAAAAAAAAACACAAACTGGGAATGATGAGACAGGAAATGGACAGGAAACGAGAAATGGACAGAGCCAGAAAAATGAGATGTGAAAGACTGATGAGGTCAAAGGAGGCGTGTCCTCCTGTGTTCAGGTTGTGCTTTCTGTGAAAGCTGAGTATTTTTGGGTCCAGAGGACAGGGACCCACGGCAGGACATGGGAACCAGAGGTCCCACTCTGATCTGATCGATCTGGAGGAGTCTCCTGCTCTGTCCTTCAAAAGCCATACAGCAGTATTCACTGTGCGGTTGCCTTCGTGTGTGTGTGTGTCGTGTCTCAGACTCAGACACAGACACAGCAGACGGTCGTGACTGTCCGTCTGTCCAGACACACACAAGTCAAAGATGATTTTTTTTTTTTTTTACAGAAAGTTTTTACACTTCACCGCAGACAGAAAGACACTTTAATTCAAATGTTCTTTCAGTTTTGGGAAAAGAAGTCAGATGTTAACAGGTAAATGTTCAGGTCTTTGGTTCAACAGAAGATTCAACAGGTTTTCATTTAAAAAAAAGAAAAGAAAATTCATAACACACGTCTTAGAACTTTTGGACTTACCAACCACAGGTCAACCTGTTGTCCAGGGGAATGTCTTCTACTTGTACGATCTTCCCACACGTCCTCGTCGTAGTCACAGGTACGGGTACACACATCGCAGTATTTGTTGCGTTTGAAGAAGTGTACCAACTTTTCTGGAAAAAAGCAGTTTAAAGTACATGTCCAGTGACATATTATTATTATTATACAGAGTTGGACTACATTATTAGAGACTGGTTATATTTATATTAGGTGATATTTGTATTTGAAGTATTGACGACGATCCATTTGTGAAAGGTTTTCTTTCTTCAAGCCTCGGAGTTCTTCCGCGTTCTTCATCACCTCCTCTTCGTTTTACTCCATTTGTACATAGTTTTGCTGGAATATATTATTAAGTATTGTATTTTGGTGTGTTTTTTTTTTTTGGTGATTTCCATGTACAGAATACGCCCGGTCCACTCCACAACCACCAACGGCACGTGCCTTATTTAATCTGTACATAAGTGATGAGGAGGGTGAAGAGTGGGGCGTGGACCACATTCCCTAATAAAACAACTGTGTCGGTGAAGTCATGCACAGAAACACAGACAGAAAAAAAAAGATCTTCTTCGTTTGTTGTTTTTTTCTTTTTTTCCCCAATGTTGCATATAAATATAATTTATTATTAGTTTTAAAAATTCTTTCTTACACTTTTTACAGTAGCACGACAGGTGAGATGCAAGCGGCGGCTGGAGGACCAGGTGAGTGCTGGAGAAGAAAAAAAAAACGGGTGACATTCTCACTGTACAACACCGTGAATCATGAGGCCCCGCGTCGACGGGAGGAGGAGCAGATGCAAAAGGTCCAACCACGGACAAGAGTTCACGATTGTTTCCAAAAGGGTGCAACGGTTTGCATAGACGGCCCGAACCAAACAACTGCCAACGTGATAACAAAAAAAAAAAGAGTCGATTTAGAACACACTCCAACAGTCACAGCTGCTGCTGGATCATTTACAGCCATCGCTAATATATATATTCATACATATATATTTGAAGCACAGACTCGGTGTCGTCGTATACAAAGTGAATGGCTTCTGTCTTTAATGAACAAGCAGAGAAATCGGACTTCGGACGAATGCAGGAGTTCAGTTTTGGAGACACAGGAAGTGTCTGCTCGTGATGAGTGATACTGGACATTTAGATGACCGTGTATTAAATTTAGTCCTAGAAAATGTGTCCTTTCCTTTTTTTCTTTTTTTTTGGTACAAAGCAGTTGAATTCTGATGCATTGGTCCTAGAAAAATATACATATTTGATCCTGCGCTGTTCCCTCACGTTTCTTTCTCAACTTACAAAACGCCATCAAGAGGAACGTCACATCACATCGACCGCCCTGTGTTGATCAACTGGTGGAGTTTAACGAAATTATACCAAAGTTAAATGTAAAAAAAAATAACTTATTTAAAAACATTTCAACGACTCGTGACTAAAGATAAAATCATCATTAAAAATCAAACATTAGTTAAAACAGCAAGACTAAAATGGTTCCACCGTTCGTTCTTCTGGATGAGCCGTTACCGCAACAGTCCACCAGAGGGTAGTAAAAACCAAGTCAACCGAAAAGTAAAAATGTGAGGACACAACAAAGTAAATTTCCCTAACAGATATAAATTACAAAAAAAAAAAAGAAAAAGAAAAAGATAGGTATAAGACAAATTATTATTAAATACAGAGTCATCACAGATTAAAAGATGTTTTCTCTGATCTGATCCGAGATCAGCTCCTCTTCCCTTTTCACCTCTGTTGATACTCACTGTTGGCTAACAGCGAGGGCATCGTCCTCACTTCCGTACAGTTCATCCAAATAACGGCGCAAATGGGTCCAAGGAATTCAGAGCCAAAAAAACCAAAATTTTCTATGAGAGAGAGAGAAAGATAGAGTGATAGAGAGAGAGAAAGATAGAGTGAAAGTGAGAGAGAGAGAGAGGACAAGCCAGAGAAAAATCACTGGCACAGATTCTTGTTTACCCTCAAGTTTTCACATCCTTTGTTGCCAATGTTTAACTGGGTCATGGCTGAGCAGACCTCGCTGTTTTTATCTCCTCAGTTCTTTGGGTGTATCCACACACATACACACAGAGAGAGAGAGAGTGTGTGTGTATTTGTCACTCTGATGACTCCTCTGCTCCGAGGCTTCTCCATCTCTCATTTTCTTTTTACGTCTTCTTATTTCCCTTCTTCTTCTTCTTCTTCTTCTTCTGACTCCCTGGAATCCCTCAGTCCCTGGTGGGCAGATGTCAGTGCTCAGTCACGGAGGGAAGCAGGCTGTCGTGACGTCCCATCTCCTCCAGCACCTGAGCCAGGCGACTCAGGTTGCCGTCGGGGAAATGCTGAGCCTCCCACAAATCCAGGATCACTCCTGTAGGACTGGATTTGGTGGCAAAGTAGTTGAGATATCTGGAGGGCGAGACATGACGAGAAATGGGATGAAGAGCCAAGTCACACATCTTTAAAAAGAAAATGTAAAAAGAATCAACTAGAAATTTACACATTTCTTGAAAATTAATAATAAATAGTTAATTAAATAATGTTAATTTTATATTGAATTAAAAAGGAATAAAAGATGGAATCTGTAGATATGTGAGTAAAGCTACATTTGAAGCAACATGCCTGTGTGTCCCTGAATAAAAGATTTAACCCAGACTCAAAACTCGAGCCACCTAGTGGCTGGAGCTTAAATGACAGTACAAGGCTCAAATCAAGTCAAATCAAGAAGAGTAAAAGTAAAAAAATATATATGTATATATATTTATGAACGACAATAAAGATTTTTATAGTTCTTTCAGTAAAAAGATTCAATTTCCTGGAGTTTACAGTAAATATCCTTCCTTCTGGATGAGCTCAGTCATAAAATAAAAAACAAAAACAAGAAAACATCATATTTAAAGTTTAAAGAAGTCAAAGCTGTAAATGCAAATGAGCTGCTGTTCCTGGAAGCCAGAAAAGTGAAGTTAGCAGAAGGTTAACAGAGCAGCTGAGTTTGTGCAAAACAACTGTTTTTAAATCATTTTATTCACAGTTGTTATTTTTTTGGTTGTTGTTTTTTTTTTTTTGTAAATCATTGTGATGATCAGCACTGGTGATAATGATCGTCCTCTCTGAGTCCAGAAGAATTCATCTCACATTAACAGACTCTCGTCTTCATCACAGTTTGGTCTCATTTTCGAAAGAACCAATGAATTTCATTCATTTACAAACAGATAGTACTACAAATATTTTCATCTAGGTACTCGCTGTTACTGAGTATACATATATATATACATTTACTGTATATATTGAACTGACACTGTCGACACATTTAGACGACGTATCAATAACAACTGAGGATGAAATGAATAAAAGATAATATTACAAACTGAACTTTAACCTTCTGCAGTAGCTGAGACAGACGGTTGAACAGAAAGTGAGCAGAGCTTTCACACCAACAGTCTTGTCTTCTGCTGAGGTTAAAGACAGAGGAGATATTGGTGTTTCCGCACTGAAGACTCGAGATTTGTGATTCAATAAATTTAGAAAAGTGAGACCAGATCAGGAACATGTATTTCATCACTACATCCTTTGTTTCAAAGATTTTTTTTTTTGGACGGGAATCTCATCTTACAGTAAACTCTGCCCATGTGGTCGACTGGTCGTAGTAAACGGCTGGTACAGGATAACAATTCACTGGGTTGGCACAACAGTTCAAGTACGAGTATTTGAGTACTGATACTGGTATCACTCAATCTCCAATACAAAAAGATTAAACTTCCATTGACATCCTCTGATCTCAACATGTAAAAAACAACGTCATCATCCTTTCTCCCCTGTGCTGTCTTGTTCTTTACACACCTGTCCAGATCCAGTTTGTGGGCCAACATCCTCCAGTCGTTGCCTCTGGTCTGAGGTGCGTCCAGGCTGCCACACAGCTTCTGCCGGATGGAGACGGGGATGCGGAAAGCGTTGGGGCCGACCAGCGTGGTGATGTTACTGGCAGGGTCCAGCAGGGACGTGTCAATGCTCTGGGAATCCTGCGGAGGAAAAGAGGACAAAGTCAGAGGTTAAAGCAGTTTGGCTCAGATGGCAGCGTTGGCATACTGCCAGGCTGAAACAGAATTTAACAGCATCTTAAAACGTATGGTGATGTCACTTAAATTAATTTGCAGACCTGAAATGTTGTGCTTACAACTTTGACATTGATATATATATATATATATATATATATATATATATATATAACCCGACTGAAAACCATTTTATTTTTTTGTATCGTCCGTGTACTGACGCAGCCTGAGAGAGAGACGGTCAAATGTGCTGCATTTGGAGGATTAAATGCTGGAGCTCTGGCCACAGAGACGGGAGCAGGAGCCACAGACAAATGAAGTGAGTCCAGGCAGGGACGCAGCGCTGCACCGACTGGGCTGTAATTCATCTCATTACTGAGCACAAAGCCTGAGCTCTGCTCCATCCTTCAAGCTCTTCTCTCCAGACCAGATGGCCTTTGTGAGGAGGAGAGGAGGAGCACGAGTGAGGGGGTGCCCTTATTTCCTCCCCTCCTGCTTCACTCTGCTCTGCATTGCTTGGTGATGGGAGGGGGCAGAGTGGGAGGAGACTCTGGGTTCAGATGATGGATGGATGGATGGTCAGATAGATAGATAGTGTCCCTCTGACGCAAGAGGTTTAAATGTTGTGCGGTTATGATGTCATACAGGGCTGACCTCTGACAGTATTGTGTCCAGCTGGAATATCTGTCCTTCTCCTTCGACTTGGCGCACGCATATCTTACAAGCCAGGTCCACCGTGCTGGCAGAGAACCTCTCTAGAGTGAAGCAACAGTGGAGGTTCCTCTGAGAACCACTCCATACTTGATGGAATGGAAGTTCCTGCAGAACGGTTCAAGAGAAGAAGAAGAATTATATTAGCTATATATTAATAATTCATTAATCTGTTAGAATGTGCTGCATGTTGTCTGAACTTTTGTATATATATACATATATCCATATATATACATATACACATTTATATTAAACATATATTATATATATTAAAATATTAAACGTGCGTAGAGATGCTAAGAGGCTAGCGTACCTGGTACTTGGCCAGCAGCTTGCTCCGCCACAGTGCGTGTGAGATGTCATGGATGGAGAGTCTCAGATTGTGCGTGCTGTCTTTGAAGCTGAGAGTCTTTGGTTCGTCCAACAACTTCCCTCCCATTTGTTTTTCCATCTGCAGGACTTCCTGAAAACGCGGAGATACACAGAGTTTAATAAAAAACGTCTCATCATAAACGATGACCTGTGAACTGGTAATTACTCCTCTCTGTTCAAGTTCCTGATCACCTTGAGTGCGTCCTGCGTGTCATCCAGACAGTAGACTCTGATGTGATACTCCATGGCGGGGCAGGTGACCGGACCGAAAATGGCCAGTTTCAGGCGCTTTATGGTGGAAGCGCTGAGCGTCTGCCCTACGAGGCAGTAGGTTCCCAGCGTCTCTGTCAGGATGTGGCAGGCCTCCTCATCCATCTGGATGTAACATGGTGTGGTGAAGTTTTCCTCACCGACCACGACTACATCCTGTAGTATGGAGAGGGAGGGAGAGAGAGAGAGAGAGAGAGAGGGAGAGAGAGAGTTATGAGCCATTCCACATTTTGCAGGCAGCTAACATGATAACTTTGAGCAGCGCAGTGGCAAGTTCCAAAAAAACAAAAAAATAACACGACTGCTGTAAGGAAATATTTTTCTTTAGAAACGCCTCAAATCCTCCGTCTCCACATACAATACGACTAAATCATAACATTTAAAAAAGCACCATGTCAGAAAAACAAAGAGCTGCCCAGGAGTCCCTTCTGACGTCATTCCAAAAACAAGGTAAACCCGACAGACAACGTTAAAGCTGAAGGGATTACAGAGAAGTTGCTCAACGTCATCGTACTCGATGACCAGCCCGTTATCAGAGGTGGAAAACGTGGGTTTTTTTTTCGCAGCCTGATTGAACACTCGCAGCCACGATATACTTGTTTATCGGAGACTGCGTTAGTTAGCTGAGATGCTAAACGGATTTCCAGTCCTGAACCTTGTTAAGATATTTGGGCTTCAGGTGTCTGTCCAATGTCACTGATTAGCCTGACAGTGCACTGGGTCGACGGGGCTGATAAACACGGTCTCTCTACAATCACAGCCTCAATTACACAGATGTGAAGTCACCGGGAGATCCCTCTGGAGAAAGTGAATGTCATTCTACCACCCTAACTCTAAACCCTAATCCAATCCCACCCATTGGCTGACTGCTGTCATATTTAAATTCTAAAGTAAGTAAAATCTATGCAATACATTTGTTTAAAGTTATTTCTAGGGATGTTTATTCATAACAATTTTCCCACCGAGCTAATTTTAATCTAGCTTTTAGTTGTCTCCTTACTCAGTTAGCAATTCTCCCATGATCCACCTCTGCGTCCTGGCTGAGTCATTGAAAATGACTGAACACTTTTAATTTATATTTTCTTTGTGACTAAAGTCAGTGACAAAGAATGAAAGACTGGAAACTGAAGTCAAATCTAATTCACTGTTCGAGTCCAACGCCAGTCATTTAAATTGTTACCAACATTTACATAGTGAACGACATCATAACGGTCTTGTCAGGTACAATTATAGGAAACAAGGCAGAGTTTAAATGTAGCTTAAGGAGCGAGGTTTGAAAAATGAGGGCAATTAAGGAGCGGTTTATTTTCATATTTAGAAGAGTTTCACTGAAATGACGTGAACTGAATTTAAATCACACTTTAAACTGAGACTGGGGTACAATCAGGGGTCACGACCTTTTCCACCTAAGCCCTGTCTAAAAAAAAAAAACAAAAAAAAAAAAACCCAAACCCACAGCTGGTGTGAGTGTGTATTACACTGTGCCATTGTGTACGTCTGCTCATGAGTAAGAAGATCGTTTGCAGCTGACCCCTGTGAAAGCACTAATGCTGCCACATATTTCTCCTTAACTGAGACTGTCTGGACAGAGGAGGCTTAAGTGACCACCTCTTATTTTCTCTCCTCCTCTCTCTCTCTCTCTCCCCCTTTGTCTCGATCTCGCTCTCCCTCCTTGACACGGCCGTTCTCTCTCCTCTAATCCAAACACTCCTGTGAGCAGCACATGGGCATTAATTCAGCCAATTATGAGAGACTGAAGAGGAATTACAGTATTTTCATTGTGAGCTGGTCCGTTTAACAGCAGCGTTATGGCTAATCATTAGACTCTTTAACTGCTCCTGGGCAGTGGTGCTGGGGGTTTGTCTTACGGGAAGGGGGGGGACTAATGAGAAAACACAGTGTGGAATGTGGGCGTTTGAATCACACATATGTGCGTGGGCGAAAAACAAACACCCAAACACACAATAATTTATTCAAAAGCTTGTGCAAAGATGGCAGTCATCAGTGGCTGTTTAGTTTTTTTTTCTTCTCTGTCTCCCAGAGGCTAAGGAGGAGGATTCTTTGTAGTTACTGAAGCAGAAAGTCCCACATGTTCCTCAATAAATGACCTCCTCGTCTTCATCAGCATCACAACAACATGTTTCCTTAATGACTCGGTGGTTGTGTTTCTGTGTGTGTGTGTGTTCTGGTGGTGGTGGGGGGGTGTCTGTCTATAAAATAGCCATCAATTACTTCAGCTCATCTCTCCTGTTTCCAACACAGTGATGATTATATTGTGACAGGCCTTGTCAAAACTACTGATGTTTTACAGAAGATGAGTGAGGGGGAAAAAAAGTCTCCATCACCTTGGATAGCGCCACCTGCCTCTCTGTCACACAGATCACAGATGTAATCAGTAGTTATTCCTTCCTAAAAATGATCTGGTGTCACACCCGGAATTATTGGCCACCCACTGGTAATTCATCAACGTCACAAACAACTGTGGTGACCGACTAATAAGTCTCAGCATCACATCAGCTGTCGGGACTTCTGCTGATATTCTTAACAATAACTCAATGCTATGCATCGAAATAGATTTATTTTCTGTTATGGGCCACACGGTGACAACAAGGTCAATATGATTGCCTTACAGCAAAAAAGATTAAGGTTCAATTCCCTGTTCCATATGAAGTTTACAAAGCAAAAAATGTCCAAGATCAAGAGAGAGACAGACGTCATATCACACTCGTATAATTCCTCCAGTGTTAATGTTTTCTCTTTAGGTCAAGAAAGAAACGTGGAAGAAAGTAGCGACAGGAGCCACCTGTAACATAACCCTTAGTTACATAAAAATGTAACTACGAGCAGGTAAATGTGGACCTAATATTTTTTCTCTGCTGACGTTGACTCTGCCTGTCGAGCCGCATTCACTGTATAAATATGACACTGACATCACGACTCTCCAGGATTCTTTAAAAAACATGATCGTGTCTCGGTTCATTCATTTTGTTTGTCGTTATCCAAAAGGAAGCCGACTTCAGCAGAGATAGCCAAGGAGTTTATCAATAAAACCTGATGAGGTGTTAAAATGAAACTGGTCAATAACAACCTCAGATAGTGTTTATTCATAAACAGATCGTCGACCAGCAGGCCGAGACACTTCTCCAAATTATTATTTAGACTACAGTAGATAACAGTTTGACATCTGCCCCGGTGCTGCAGCGGTGGGGCAGATGTAATTAAGTTGCTACAAAGCCCCCGATGTTTAATGTATGAGCACGCTGATTGTCTGATCGGAGCGAGTGAAGAAAATCTCTTCACCTGCTGCATCTTTAGCTTTTCAAAAGTATTTTCTTTTCCCTTTCTGCCCGGGGCAGAGCGAAATCAAATATGGAACATTTCATGCATCAATCACAGTCCATCTGTCAGTCGTATTCTAGCTGACAAACACAACTCTAAGACACTGCACGACTGCCAAAAGAACACTCTCCAATTGGATGACAGTGACAGACGCGAGAGGCTGCTGCACAGTTCCCATCCTGCAGATTCCCTACATCTCACCTCCCACTGGTTCTGCGGCGACTGGTTCTTGAGCTGGATCAGCCAATCCTGTTGGCCGTCACACACGGCGCAGTGGTGCATGGTGATGATGACAGGGCGGGTCAACAAGGCCCCCGGTGGTCCGCAGCTCACCACGGGGCTCAGGACTGTTTGGCCGTCTTCCACTGAAGGCCTGGAGGTGGACGGAAAACACACACACACATTTACAGACACAGAAGATGGCGCTGTGTAGTGATGACACAACAGTGGAGCCTGTGACAGGAGTGAACACAGCTCTGGGGTGTTGATGTGCCAGGTGGCGCTGCCTACCTCATGGTGTCCTTCCTCTGAACCGTCACGTACATCTCGTAAACTCGGCCTTGAGGAATGGCCCCAGCTGGAATCAACAGACTCACCCCTGGGGAGTCACGGGGGGAGAAAGACAGGGAGACACTCAGAAAACAAAACTTACAGGAAAAAGTTATGACTTGTCAGGTTGAACAAAAGAGGAAAGGAAAGTTGGACATGATGGGTCAGGTATGACTTGTCAGGTTGAACAAAGGAGAAAAGGAAAGTTGGACATGATGGGTCAGGGACCAGTCATGGTGCTTGGATCAGTGTAATGTGGCACTTGTTAAAAAAAAAAAAAAAGCTGAAAAAGAAGCAAAAGCTTTTTTTTTTTTTGGTAAAATGTGTTTGGAAGATGTTTTTAAATCTGACTCCTGGGTTTAATTCATTTTTTCTTTTTGGCTAAAGGTTTTTTCCTTCTATTTGTGGCTCAAATGTAACAATTTAAATGCATAAACTTCAAACACATTTTTTTTTTTTTAAAAAGCGAAACATTAGAAATGTAAGTAGTTGACGTATCCTTTAATGTCGCTGCGAGTTTGTGGGAGCCTGTCACAGGGCATCTGTGCTTCGTTACCAGCAGCTGGAGTGAAGACAGCGTGGCTAATGTACGCTGACTGAAACAGTACACCACGGCTCCAGCACACGAGCTGCACACCTCAGGTGTCCATCAGCTTGTACAGTGAGTCATACGGTCTGCGGTCAGTAGCTGAAAGGCTACATCTGGTTCAGCACAGTGTTTCAAAAACATGTTTTGATGAGTATCGTCTGTGCTAGCAAGCATGCTATTATGTAGCTTTCGCTACAAAAAAAAATACCATAGATCAGGGGTTTTTAAAGTCTATTATTCTAGACTTTATCTATTATGTTATTAGCCTTTACTAATGGAATATATTTATTATTTCAAAATAATAAAAAATCCAAAAAAATCATTTGATCAATATTTTCCTCACTTCCAAGCACTAAGGGAATGCCAAACAAAAATTAAAACAAAAATAGAATTTAGTTTTACCAGTTGAGAAGGATGAGAAGATATTTTTTCTGCCATTATTAAAACATCAGTATAAAAAGATTTAAATTGCTGCCTCGTGCAGTACCTGAGTTTGGCACTATGAGGTGCCCACCCTGGGAACTGAAGGAGCCCACAGCGGTGCAGGATGGATCCCTGGTTCTGAGCAGCGTCTGGGTTTGTGTGCGCCGGCCCATCGTGCTGTCGCTGTTGTCCAGGAGGCAGTGGGGCAGCTTGGGTGACAGTTTGGAGAACTCCCCCCCCAGGTCGTCCTGGGGGGTCACCAGACCCGAGGAGTTATAAACCTTAATCTTTAGGTTGGGCAGAGGGTCCAGCAGGGGGGAGTTGGTCATGGGGATTTTGTCAGCCACATCGTGGAGGGCGTAGACGGGGCCGCGGTACATGGCTGCTGCCGAGGTCAGGTCAGGTGGCGCTGTTAGCAGCTCGGCTGGAAAAGAATAAGGAAATGAGTAATCAAGTGTTTAAAGGGTGAAGAACAGCGGCGATAAACTGAGACCAAATGTGAAAGTGAAGAAACGGTAACTTGAAACCCAAATAAACCAGGAGGAAATGGAATGTTGGCAGCAATCAGCGAAGCCGCCGCCTGACTTTCCTCATTTGTTTTTCTCTCATTAGAGAAGTCCACCTCAGCAGCGAGAAAAATGACTCAGTCAGAGTCCGTGCAAACGCAGCTGTGATTCATCAGCAACAGATGGCACGGCCAACACTGGCAGCACCCAGCGGCAGGTACCAGTTTGAATGTTCAGGAGCAAGGATGGACTGAGTGGGAAGGGGTGGGAAACTTATCTAGTCTGTGCTCCACAATATCAAGTTCTTGTTGTTTGCTGTTTGTTGGTCTGACTGTAGATCAACTTTCAGCTCTTTTCTTTATCTTAACTGACAAAATGTTAACAGCTAACATTTAGATGTTTTTTTTCCTCAGTGCTAATGTTAGATTAGCAGATGCTTTCTTTGTCAGTGTCACAGTGACAGTGCTGGAAACAACACATTTATTTTCACATATAAAATGAGGTTATTTATATGAACCACTGTTCCATCTGTTTGTTTTCATCAATCTTTTTTTTTTTTTTTTACACTTTCCATGTTGATCAAAACCACACACTATTTACCACACAGTCACTGTGATGTTTCTTCTCCCCCTGTTGTCTCCATGTCCAGCCTAAACCTCATTACTGTACAATTTAGTATAAAAAATAAAGACGTGGCCTAATTATGGCTTCACGGTGGGACATGGTTTGGCCTCCGTTAACAACAACATGCATTTTAATAATTTGATCACGACTGGGCGAACATGTTGTCTGTGTTCCTCACATCAATACAAACATTTGTATGCATGAGGTGCATACAGACATACATACAAAAACATAGTACAGCCTACATGTATACATACATAGGCACGTACATATACACACATACGTACTGTTCACACATACACTACACGTATACGTGAAAACTGAAAAAAGGAAAACGACAGAAAAAAAAGTAACAAAAGTGAAACAACACAAATAAATAAATATGAAAACTGAAAAAAGGAAAAGGAAAACGACAGAAAAAAAGTAGAAAAAGTGAAACAACACAAATAAATAAATCTATGAATAGCTAAATATTTGCCACAAACATAGACGGAAATGAAGAAAATATTAACAAAAAAAATCTGATTTAATCCAGGGTCTAAAATGTATCTAAATATATAAACACATTTTTGTAGTTTAGCATTTATATATTCATTCACAGACCCCACTTCACAGACCCCATTTCAAACCAACTCATATTTGTATCTACTTCCTGTAGGGGGCCTCACCTTTGCGTGCAGTCTTGATGCTGACTGGCTGGAAGCCACCGTTGAGGGCAGAGGTGTCGATGATGTCGGAGTCAAAGTCACGGTGGTTCTTCCTGTAGACGAAGAGCGCCACCACCACAGAGATGACCAGGCACATGATCACCGCGATGACAATGCCCACGTACAGGGCGACGTCATCGGTGCTCGGGGCCACTGGAGAACAGAGCACAGAGAAGAGAGAAAGGAAAAATGTTTTAATCACATCGTATTATCAGCGCAAGGTCTTTCTTGTACAAATATCCAAAAATATAATGAAGATTAATATCCTGTTCTCAAAATTGTGCCGGATATTAATAACCAAATACTGGGATATAAAGGCATACAGTACATCTGTCATCTGCTGCTCTATTTAATATTTGCAACCATCAATCTGCGTGTCGATGGAATAAATGTTGACATTTATAATTAAAATTATTATTACTGGAAAATAACACATTTGCAGTATCTGATGTGAGAAAACAAACATGCCTTTTTAAACAACAGCCATATTATGCATGTGTTCCATGATCAAGGTAATGGACACTGAGTAAGAATGTAAAGAAAATAAGGTGAAACACTGTGTGCAACGGCGCAATTAATAAGAAAGTCCTCCTCCAGTTGCAGCTCAATGACACGCCGTGGTAACCAGCAGCCACAGAAAACACATCAAAGGTCATGGAGACACAGATACAAAGGTTTTTTATCTCTAAATTAGCCCGCTGTGTTGTTGGAGTTCAGAGTCTGTCCTCCGTCTTTGTTCTTACACATTGTAGATAAGACCTAGACATACAACAGCTTGCTTTTCATCTCCGTCTCCCAGACTCTTTCTGGTCACTTCCCTGCTGCAGTAAAACCTCTGTGATTACCAGGTCTGTTGTGAATGATCAGAACTATTTTAATGAACGCCTGCTCACAGTTTGACCTCCGTGTCCTACACTGTCACCAGGCTGTCCAAGATGGAGACACCATTATAAGAACACAAATGTCAAGAAAACAACATGTATTATATATATATATATATATTTACGTGTAAAAATATATATTTTCTTGATTTTCTTCTACTAGTAGTGGAGTCTCGGCCAGTAGATGGCAGCATTCGACATTAATGCACACAGAGAGTATACAGACCATCCGTGATGATGCAAACATTTGTGTAAATGAAGGACACAGATGGCACTCGGAGTGTCTCCTGAACTCCATTTTACAAAGGACACAGAAAAGCAGGAGAGCAAAGAAGGAAAGACACATAGAACATATGTTCTTTCGATAATTGCTCAATATTCACAACAGATTTTTCAGTGAAAAATGCTAAGCTTCCCACAACGTGGACACAAAAAATAAATCTGTGGTTTCGCTAAGTGAGAACAGAAACAAAAAGAACCTTAAAATGGAACAAATGCTTTCGTCAGTTCCCAAATTAAAAATATGAAAGTATAAAAATATATAATGTGATGAGACTCAGCGTTTCACCTGCCTCTTGTTTGTTTAAGTAAGTTTATGTTTTTTGGTAAATAGATTAGTTTCTTCGCGTTTAAACTAGGACAGTCCGAGTTAATAATAATAGCTAACTAAGAGGCCAAACTGTTAACGTTCTGAAAACGTTAATGTTTTAAAAATAATGTTTTCTAAAGATAACTACAATGTGTGATTTATGGACAACCTTGCTTTAAACTCCTAAAAAAACCCTGTTTAACCTTTACCTAAAGCATCGGACTAACATGGTTCACGACAGGAGACACTTCCTGCCTGCGGCCATCGGACACCTTAACGCCTCCCTCTGAGTGTTATCAGTATTACACTTAGCACAGTACATCTGCTAAAACTGCACAAGCACAATCAGCTCTGTGTATAGTTAATATGAATACATACAGTATGTTAAAGGTAGTTAAAAAAAAAAAAAATATATATATATATATATATATACTATATTATAAAAAACAGGACTGCCATAATAAACGTGACATAAAATATTTAAAAAATAAAAAAAATTGAAAAAAAAAAACATAAAAAGAACCATCAGGAATTCAAATGTGAGGGAAGGCTTGGCAGCGGTAATATATAAACGCATAGATACAACAAACACATATATTTGCATATATATAAAAATATACATATACACACAGGCATACTGTATATATAGTGTATATACATATGTATACATATATATGTAGCTGATATCTGTACTGACGTGACTCAAAAGAAGAAGAAAAAAAAAAAAACCTTGAATGTCAAAAGTCAAGTCAATTTAAAATTGCTTTTCTTCCCAGTCTCAAACAATAAACACTTGGATCATAGTGTTTGATTTCAGCAGTGATTGACCTCAGATTAGGAGGAGTGTCAGAGTCATCATCGTATATGTCGCATCTTTAATCCCTCTTCATAACAGATATAGGCAGAAAAAAGCCACAGCCTTAAAGCAATGATAAAAATGGAAAAAAAAAAAAGTAATTTCACCGTGCCCTCTGCCAGCCTTCTCTGCTGATCAACATTAACATACAGTCCACCCCTTCCCCTCCCACCCCCTTGTTGAACAATCTTCCACCCACACTTTGATGATAAAGGCAGCGACCTTGTAAGTGTATGCATTAAAATGTATCACTTAGATTAAAACATTCCCTTGAATATGAGTCATTGTCAGAAACAGGAAGTGGAAATGGAAGGGATTACAGAACAGTCGAAACTCTGTGATGGCATAAAGATTCACAGGCGAAGCGTGGGATTTGAACAGAGACCAGATTTAATGAGACAAACCTTCAGAATGGAGTTCATGAGCAGCAACAGGGTGGAGGGCAGTGTTAGAGGCAGCCAGCAAACAAGAAATGTGAGAAGAAACAGATGAGGGTTTTTTAAATCTTTTTAAATAACTATAAAAATGTTTTTCATATTCTGTTTTAATCTTTTTTTTGTGGATCTTTGTGTTTTAAAGGTACACAGTGTAGGATTTTGTAGCATCTCGTCCTGACATTGTATGTTGTCTCCGTAGACTGTATATAAGATCTGGACAAAGCTATCTGCAGTCTGTGGTAGGAAATTGGAAATTAAGCGTTAAGTACATTTCTTCAAGCTACAACCAAACCCTGCGGTGGTAGAAGTTCGTCTGTATCTTATATACGGTCTATGGTTGAGGTTGAACGTCTCTCACCTCAGCATTTATATCAAAACGCATAACAAAAAATGAAAGTATTTAATGAAAGTATTTAGGCAACGGAAGCGTTGCAGTACGTATAAAAGTTTTCACCTAAATCCTACACGTTGTACCTTCAAATGTGACTATCCAAAAATTCCACTGAGTGACTCCAGACATGACTCTCAGGTGAAACAGATGTTAATGAACGCTAATGTTAATGTGATAATAATAATAAGAGGCGATGAGAGGCATGAAAACAAGTGAAGGAAACACATGAAATGAAAGAAGAGATCAAACAAAAACAAAACTCACATGAATTCCCCAAACCACTCTTGTCTTTAGCCTCTGAGGACTTCTGAAATAAGGAACCTTGAGGAGAGGGAGAGGATTTTGAGAGGGCGGGAAAGGGGGAGAAAGAGAGAGAGAGAAAGAAAGAAAGAAAGTGAGGGGGAGTCGGGGGTACAGAGGGGAGATGGCAGGAGACGAATGATGAAAATCAAATTTAAGGCAACAGAAAAACAAACTCAACAAATGAGACAGCAACAAACTCATGAGTAGGAGTAATGACACGGGGAAGTGATCTTTCTTGATTTACCCCCTCACCCCTCCCTACTTTCCAGATCTGCGTATGGGGTATAGAGATAGATGAGAGGAACAGGCGGACATGGAGGTTCTGTGAGGGAGTGGCGTGATCCATCAACGAGGCTTAGTGCTGCAGCAGCAGCGGCAGCAGCAGCAGCAGCTGGACTGATGCTGGCAGGTGAAGGGACTGAGTCAATAGAAACTGTGCAGTCTCTTTGATGGAGGTCAATAGAATAAAAGCAAAAACCTATGAAAACATGTGGTTCATAATACATAAATATATATATCTATATATATATTTTTTTTTTCAGCTGCAGTAAATGCAGATTGTAGGCGTCCTCATGGACAGGTAATGTGCTGACAGGAAGTAGCTACAGTGCCAGCCGGGGGTTTGCACTCCGACACACATAATATTCAGTCTCCCAGGGACATCCATAAACAACTATACAAACAATGAAGTCCTTATTGGAGAGGGAGAGAGCCACGGGCAGACAAGTGGAGCGACACAAAAATCGATGTCTTGATAGATGGGGCTGTGTGCACATGTAATCAGGCAACAGGGAGGCCTGGCTGGAAAAGAGGGAGGAAACTGTCAGGGTCAGTCTAACTGATGGCCCATCTGATCCCATCCTGTAAAGTTTCTGTTCCTCCCGCAGCAGAGCGGGCTCGGATCACGCTTCAGTGGGTGGGCCGGGAAGGGAAAACCTTCGGTGGGAGACAAAATGATTCCTCACTGACAGAGCAGAGATTAGGGGGAAAGGCAGAAACTACAGGAAATCACCGTCCGTGTCCTGGTCATTGATTCTTTACATGAGACAGATGTCCAACATCACTGACTTTAGTGTCTTCGACCGCAGAGCTGCTGTCAGAGTTTCTCTTCGTTTTTCACTAGACAATGTGTCATGTATTCTACATCAATAGATACACATATATAAATGTATATTGTGTGTACTTACAAACCTCCTAAATATTAAACCCAAACTCTTCTGCTTGTGTACTGATCATTTATTCGATTGTTTGTTTATTAGATAAACGTACACTATACGCCTTAAAGTCTGAAGTCTAAGTCAATTCTAATTCTTTGATATTATATATTTAATATTTCCACTGTCGACACTCAATCACACACAACAGAAATGATTTTCACCACTAGATCATGTTTCCTGTTCCTTAAAAAAAACACCTTTTATTTTGAGACTAACGGTGCTTTTCATCGCAGCCTTGTAATAACAACTGGTACTGGTTCTTGCGGGTTAAAAGACCAGGTCCACGTTCCGTCCTCTGGACATGGACTTTTTCTGCAGCGCCCCCCCACTTTTTACACAGGACTGTCATTGACCCCCCATCCCCAGAAAGGTCAACAGATTTACAGATATTGTTTCTAAACCCCAGAGACATTTATTTGAAACAATGTTATTCTTACAAAATTTGTCAATAAACAAAAAATAAAACTTACAAAGTGCAGTTTATCCCCTAATGGTAAAATTCAATAAAATATAAAGATGGGGGGTCCCCAGGGGTCCGCCTCCCACTTTTTGAACCACATATCTACTTACCACATATAAAAACCACATCTTGGAGTCTCATTAAAAATAAAATTGATTTAAATGGTAAATAAAAGCTATTTTTACTACATTGCAGGAATTTGAGTTTTTATATTTAAACAGTAAATTCCAAAACTGACGTCTTGTAGAAAAACCTGACGTCATTTTTTTTTTTTAACTTGAACTAGAACATTTTCCATTACTGGTAAATGCTGGTAAAGTTCACGCCCATGGGAGGCTGAGGAGAAGCCTCGAGTCGTGACTTTTTACTGTTAGCTGTGTGATGGCAACGGCGGCCTTTGCCTTGAAGTGTGCACTCTTCCTTCTCAGAATCAATATGTCAAGAAAATGCCATGTTTCAAAGAGCAGGCGTAGCAAAGAACTGGAAAACAACATCAGAATCAAGACAGAAAATTCAGAGAAGTCGGCATCTGTGAAGTGTAAAACCGTAAGAGCGTTAGTGTAGGAAAGTGCACGCTGGCTGGATCAATCAGCAGATACTTCACTTTGTGAAATCCAACCTCAAACTCTTGAAGTGAATGTGATGAACAAGACGCAAAGTAAATTATAACACCAGTCTTGCCTTTTTTTATTTGAATCAGCGCCGATTTTACAGAGCCTAGAAAAGCAAGAGTTCTATTTGCGGCTGTGCTCTTATTAAATTGCGTTGCCAGATTCCTGTGATGGATTGCGATTAAAATGATTACAAATAAATTCAAACAACCGAAAATGAGATCAGGCTGCAACGGAATCCACAGACGACGTGTTTGCTCCGACTCTGGGCCTACACTGCGGGGAGCAGATCAACGTTCCAAGGCGAGTTCAGATTGCACACAGCGTCCACTCCCAATCATATTTGCTATAATGTGAGCTTTTAGATAATGCTACGGTCTGCTAGATGCTGGTGGAAATGGTCATTAGCATTGACATAAGTGGCTTCACTCTCTTAGCTTTCGAAAAAAAGAAAAATCAATCTCTGAAACGATCCTAAATCCATATCATTATGGCTCCATATTCTCAGCAAACTGGCCATCAATCCAGCCTGAAGTAGTGCTTCAGTGATAGGAGGAGTACCAGAGAGTGTGCAGCTGGTGTGGAGAGAGTGTAAGTGTGTATGTGTTTTAGTGCAGAGGGACAAAACACTGGTTGAATGAGATGCTAATGTCAAATGAAATCCCTGCAGAATGAAGTCATAGTTTTCTGCATGTCCTCTGTAAATACACACATCCAGATCACCAGGCAAGCACACAGATATGGACGACCCAGAGGTTGGTACACTTTTAACAGCAGAGCAAGTAAAATAAGTCAATCGGTAGTCACTAGAAACCTCAGTTTAAAGGGCAATGGGTCCAATAACTAACCAGTGTAAATACATTTGTCATAATAGACAACAGTATTTCATGGACACTCAGCTGTGAATACACCACACCCCACAATACTGATTTCTATGTAATAGAAATTTGTATGAGGACTGTCACAATTAACACTTTAACTGATGAAAGTCCCCCAAAAAAAACAAAAACAGGTGGGAAACACACACATCCACCTGCTGTTATCCGTCTTGTTTATTGTCATACTGATTAACCTCCATTAATCAGGATTAACCCAGAGCTACTCTGAGCTACTGTGATTGATGAAAATAAAAATTCACACAATTGCACATTCACATTTCATGTACTTAGTATTAAACTCTGGCCTGTTTAGTTGCACACAACACTGATTTATTCACAGGAGTTGAAGAAAAAGATCTTCAACAGCTGTCTCTTTTTTTTAAAGCTATAAAAGGCATCTGCTGCCACCTAGCGTAATATTATATAATAGTTCTGACCGTCGCTGTCATTGATTTACAAAGATAAGTTATTTGCAATAAATAAATTTGAGTTTCCAAACAAATCAAGTACATTTTCAGTCTGTGGCCTCGGTTCCAAACCATCAATATCCAAAATGGTTTCCAAAGGGAACTGCTGAGAGATTAATCAAGTTCTATCTGATCTAATCTAATCTAACCTAATCTAAAGAAGATGACATCACTTGCAAAATTATTAGCAACAGCAGGTTGTACCCATTTGCATATATCCTGCAGCCCGGCCTATTATTATTAGTGTCACCAACCACCATCTGTGGCAGTTTATATGTACAATGGTGGCATCTGTTCTAATGTGTGTCAGTCTAACTAATCTTTAAAGAAGCTAATTGAAGAGGAGGCCACTTGAACTAAATTACCATGTACGACAGTCAAACACTTTAAGGTAAGATAATAAAGTGCAGCAAATTAAAAACTTTTAACACTGCAGTAAACACTGTGAATGTTGAGAAAAAAAACTGTTGGTCCAGCTGAACATGTTGACTGTTAAATTCTTAAATTGAGTCAGTGCTACAGAAAAAACAGTTACAGACTGAGACAGACTTCGACATCAGTACATAACTGTTTGAATTGTAATTAAAAATTACAGAAAAATCAACGTCCTGGGAAAAAAAAACCTGACTGCGATACAAACACATGCTGTGATTATTGTCTTTTTTAAACCATGAGAAGGTTGTGATTTAATTAAAAAGAATCTCTGTGAAATCCTGGGACCTATTTTCCTCCGTGATTCTCTACAGTAATGACTCACTTCCTCACACATGTAATCGGCAGCTGAGGAAAAAAAAAAAACTTCTCCTCCAACACTGGTGCTACTTTGTGGTTTCATGCTTCCTCCCATTTGACCCAAGCAATCCTGGCTTTTTTAAATTAAGGTAGTAATCAGAGCTGCTCACCAGCTACGACCTCCTCCACGTAATTGCAACGTAATCACTTATTACCATCTTAAATATAACTCCCAAATGTTTGGGTTGTGACAGGGATAACTGCTCGGAATGCTGCCTTGTGTGGCCGCCCGGGTCCCCACGTCCTGGAACATGTACTTACAGTTTCAGCAAAGCTGATGCAGTAGAAAGATCTGTGCAGTGGTTTCTGTTTTTATGTCACTTTTATCTAACTGCTTTGAAGCATAGGAAAAAACCCAAACACTTCATCAAGTCCTGTGCTTTATGTATGAGTAAAGTGAAGTAAAGTGAAGTAAAGTGAGAGACGGGGTGAAAAAGTCACATGGGGACATGAAACACAGTGTGCTGATGAAACTCATGGTCAAAGGGTGGGTGGGTGTGTGGGGGGGGGCAGGTTTATCTGGTTGGCAGGTCAGGGGGAGTAGCAGAGGATTAGACATGTACTCACTCTGCATGCACAGCCCATCCGTGCAGTTCTTGGACTGGAGCACCATGCCCTCACAGTCCTTCCCCCCGTTTTTGGGCGCCGGGGCGCTGCATTCCCTCCTCCTCCAGTGGGTGCACTCTGTCCCACAGGTGGACCACTTACTCCACTCTGTCCACAGGCCATCCACTGCCACACACACACGAGAGGAACACACACACACACACAAAGACAGACCACACAGTGAGTGAGATGGTGGATGAGAAGATGAAGACCAACAAATCCATGTGCAGGTGATTGAGTAAAACAGTGAGACATTTGTGGGAGAGTCACACACACACACACACACATGGAGGGACGCAGCCAAAACACAGCCACACATTTAGTGTATTTATTTTAGTGTGTTCTCATAGACATGGTGTCACTCATTATAACTGTGTTTGTCGGTGTCGTACCTGGGCAGAGAGGGTTACACGCCAGCTTCTGGATGCCCTGTCCTTCACAGATGACACCTCCATTTAGCGGAGCTGGGTTGGTACAACTGCGTGTGCGTTTCTGGTATCCACGGCCACAGCGGCTGTTGCACACTGACCACTCTGTCCACGTGGACCAACCACCATTCACTAAAATAACAAGAACAAACAAACAAACAAACAAACAATAAAACGACAGTATTACAGATACAATACCCTGTGGTTTCTCAGCCAGTCTTCTGATGTTAATTCATGCTGTCGATAAATCAGAATTCTTATTCCCCTGCCTTCACATTGTAATTAATCATGATTACACAAGATTAATTAACATTTGTAAGTATAGCAAAAATATGTATATTTGCACTTTTGCACATAACATTTAATATACTTCATAAAGACAGTGTATGAGTCATTGGTCTGTGTCTTGAAAGTGTTCTATACTTGAGATTTGATTTCAAAAGCTTGTCAGTCATAGACTCACTCAGTGCCTTGCACTCAGTGAGTCTGGTCTGTATTTTAACACAAAACTGCACCGCTGTTGTAAATCACAAGTGGCTCTTGAATTGTAAAATAATGGACAGTCCTGTATATTAGCCACAACACAAGCAAATGTTAGCCAATCGTCATTTCAGTCCAGAGAGTGTGTTCATCAGCTGATACATGTGTCACAGACACATAACAATTTATAATCATTTGTGGATGAAACACTGTGTTTATACAGTGGAGTTTTTTGGTATTGTGACCCTGAAGTCTTGAGGTCATTACTTCACCCTGCAGTCAGACAGTAAATACTGGTCAGATTGCTGCATTTTCCATTCGCTGATTCCTCCTAATGCCTCTTTTCCTCTCTCATCCATCTCTGTCAGCGACTAAATCCAGTGGAGAGTGACACTGGGTTTGTGGCTGAGAACGTGTCTGTGGCATTTGAGAGGCGAGAACTCCCCTCAGCCCCCCCGCACCAGAGCCTCTGACTTTCCAATGTGACATGCCTCAAAAGTGGCGCTCCAAACACTGAACTTGAGGGAAAGACCACTGAGGACCTCAAGTTAAACAAAATAATCTTCTCCTTTATAGATTATGGCTCTATCTTTTCTATCTCCCCCTCCACTCCCCCCCATCTCTCTTCTTCCTGCTGTTGCCTGTCCTCCTGTTTAGTGTGACCTTGTAGCAGGTCAGAAGAGAAACCACTGGGCTGAAAACGCACTGCCAATCCTTCTCACTTTTTTTTTATCACAGGTATCAGAGCCAACTCAGCCTTTTCCCCCTGGAAAGCCCTTGTGAGGAAGGGCTTTTCTCACACTGGGCAGATATGTACGATATGTAAACAACCTGCTCTGCAAAAGGGAATAAAGAAGCGAGGAAGGTGCAGGAATTGCGTTACGTTCTCTTCAGTAGCAGTCACAGTGATAGTAAATAAAATATATCAGTGATGAAAAAAAAAACAAACTTGAAGACACAGTGGACCTGTCCCTGAAAAATGCATTCATCGTTTCTACTTTATACTTTCCCCCATCAGCCACATAAATGTAAATGCTCCCACAAATACAACCAAAGCCTCAAAAACACATTGAGTCGGCATTTTTCTTTCATTCCTGTTAAACTGCCTTGCTCATTAACACAGCGTAGTTGCAGAGTAACCCATTCTACAAAGGTACAATAATCTCCATTTTGGAGGCGAGTTCTAACGACCAGAGGATGAAACTCACAGTCCTCAGTAACTGAGCTACAAAGACCTGCAGTGGTTTCATGCAGGAAAAAAGTGACTTCACAGGTTCAGAAGAAATGTGTGTTTCATGTGTCACGTCTGTGGTTTTCAGTAGCCCGACTTCACAGTCCTGCTGCGCAGTGACAGTCATGTAACTTGATATAAGGGAGACCATGGGTGAGCCGGTGTGAAACCACAGCAGGGATGTCTTTAAGAATGATTCAGCTACATCTGCACCTTGCTCGCATTTCTAAAAAAAAATTCAATTTCTCACTTTTAGAACATCTCATGGCAGAAATAAGGTGAGTGAATCAACACCACAGGAGAGACAGAGATTGTGGATTTGGTTTGTGTAAGATAGGGGTGTGAATTGGTAAGAATCTAGTGATACACTAATAATAATAATAATTATTATTATTATTATACACTTTTTACAAAAGGAATATTCTAGGATTCTGTTCATCTTGACAACATTTCAGTCTAATTTTCTTAGAATCTAAATTTTATTTTCAATTATTAAACCACAGATTTTTTTTTCTAATTGAGATGAAACCTGAACCACAACTTTTTGTAGAGTATCAATAAGAAAAAGGGATTTTATTCCAAATTGTTTGCCCTCTTTTCAAAATCATTAAGTTTTCAAGAAGTGAAAAACCGGATCAAATATGTTCTGAGAGAACTAACCAAAACAAAAGACCAATGTTAGGAAACTAAAAGTACCTGACTGGTCTTAAAGAGTCCAGAGTACGAAGACGTCTAATATTTACAGACAAGAAGTTTGTCAAACACCTAGAGGATATTTTTAAATTATTTTTTCTAGATCAGTGGTTCTCAAACTGTGATACGCGTACCAGCGCTCTCTAGTGGTATGCAGGGAAAATTCATATTTTAACATTTACATTTTCAACTGACGATATATGAAACATACCGATGCAAAATTATTACATTTAAACATAAACATCTTTATAAACATCTCTCCTGTGGTGGAAGCTAATAGTGAAGGCCTACGCTGCTGTATTCTAATGTTGGTCATCATGGTGGTACTCAGAGAGGTCAGTGTTTTCTCAGGTGGTACAGAGTATAATAATCTGTTTGTTAGATCGACAGTAACACAGTGTGTGAAGCAGCTGTTTACCGTAGACAATGACTGTTGCTGTCGTGCTGCGTCTCTTGGCCACGATGTTCTTTGCCACGCAGGTGTAGTTGGCCGTGTCAGAGAGTCTGGCCTGTTTGATGATCAGGTTGTGGTCGATGGTGATGTAGAAGTTTCTGTCATCAGCCGGATCAATTACCTCCTCGTTCTTTAGCCACTCCACCTGGAGGGAATACGGAGAGAGAAGAAAACACAACAGGATGAAACAACGGGAGCAGAAGTTAAGAACTCTGACCTCATTAAAATGTATATAAAAACCACAGCAAAGTGTTCCAGCGGCCGCAGTTCACCTTTTGCTTGCATCACTTCAGAGCAAGGCACTGACAACAAAAAAAAAAACAAACAAAAAAAACCAAAAAAAACCCAAAAAAACAAGAGTGCAGTTGTTACAGTCTCTGAGGTCTTGCTACAAAAAGTCAATAGCAATCATGCTCTTTTTATTCTCCCCTCCAGAATACAAGTCAGGCAGCGCAGAAAGAAAACTCTCTCCTCCGTCCCTGCAGCTGAGCGGCTCTCTGACCTTTCCTTATGAGTTCCATATCCCTAAATGATACTCATATTGAACTCTCGGCACTATCGCAGAACAAGGGGCGCTTAAAGGTTTTACTCTGCAGTGAATCACCAGCATCCATTTTTTTTAATAGGACCAACGGTCTGACATTACCAAAAAAAAAAGAAAAGAAAAGTCAGACCCTGTCTCACAGCAATGTGGCCACTTTGATAAAGAAATATTTCCCCCACTTCTCTGTTTCTTGTCAAAGATGCTGTGCATTCTGGAGGAGGTCTGGCAGACAGCTACGGTTCTGGTGATTGCCATATCAAATGAGGGGCATGCCTTGATAAGAGATAAGACTCTGAGGAACAGTACAGGCAGAGATAAGAGGGCTGTTTGTAAAGGCTCTTTCTCATAAGAGATAAAGTATCTGTAAAAAAAGTGGGGCAATAACCAGATAGGAGTCCTGTCGAGACACAACAGTCTGAATTCACTTTTGTATTTCCTGAGCAACAACAGGGAAACAGCACGCTGCAGTGCCGCAAATGTAAAAACACAAACCCATGTTGTCAGAACTTTGTCAAAGGAGAAGATGTGCTGATTGTGACATGAACTGGGTAAATACGCCTCAGCAGCTTCTACGGTATCGCTGTTAGCTGATAGCTTGGCAGATATCAAAGACATCATCTTTGTCACGCCTCAGTAAAGCTGCCTGCGCTTTGATCCGGTGGGAAATCGTGAAAAGAACCAAGGAAAAAAAAAAAAAAAACATTATTCAATACTTCTTCATTTCACAATAATTCCTGACTAGAACCTCCCTCTTCCACGGCTCCACAATCAGTGAATGTATCGCTAACATGTACGACACCTAAGCCCATGACAAACCTCAGATGCTGCAGTAATATCACCAGAGCTTTTGCTCTTTGTCTGTTGCATATCCTCGGCTGATTTGTTGCTTATGAGTGTTTTTTCCTCATAAACATGTTATCAACCAAATGAATCTCACAGAGCCTGGAGGAGAAGACGATGATCCCCTCACCGGCCGTAGAGGAGCAGAAATTAGAAATCTTCCTCACATGAGCACAGAGCAATAAGGGGGAAAAAGTGCAGCATAACATCACTGTTGAGAGATGCACAACGTGGGTCAAACACTTAGTCCTGCAGGATATTTCCATTCCTTAGCAGAAAGAAGACTGGTGCTTAATGAAAAGACATTTGTCCTTAAACCAAAGTCTATAAGGGCTGCTGTACAGAAGAGGAGAAATGATCCATCTGTGTTAGCAGCACTCAGAGTGGACGTTTCTGACATTTTAGTTTAGAAGGATTAAGCGCACCATGATTTCAAAACAAACATGGTTTCTGAAAGTCGAGGAAAGGTCTCTTAAGGGACCAAGCAACGTACTGTATTAAATGTTAATGACTTGTTAAAAGTCTTGTTTAGTAACCCTCACATTACGATTGTTGAATTGCACAATGTTATAATTACCCTGTATATGTGCTTTCTGGCAGTGCACTACTGTGCTCATCCACATGGGGCGCATATGCATTTACCTTGTGTTCAATTTTTTTTTTTTTTAATAGATTTGCAAGCAACAATTCTACACCCTGCCATGGAATCACATCAGAGTTTTAGAACATAATTGGGTTACCTGACAATTTAGAAACTGAATAACAAAAATGTTATGTTATGTTTTATTTTTATTATTATTTTTGTCAGAAAAAAAAAGGCTTATAGACTTAAAAAGTCAGATCTGGAAAATAGTTTGAGTCCACACTCAATCGTGTTTGAGGGATTTTGGTGAAACCATGGTAGTGGGTGCATTGAGCTCTGACATCAACATGAAAGTCCTTCCACTTGGTCAGCGAAGGCTTGAAACTGGAGGTCTTTGGTTTTATTATGGGTTTTATTTACAAAAACCAGCATTAAAAAAAAAATCAAAAACTTCTGGATCAGTGTGATGTGTCAGTGATTACTAAAGACATTTGTAGCCGAGCACATCTATTTACAAGTATATATTCAAGTGCTGTCCAACTCATTTGGCTGCTGTCTTAATTGAAATACAACTCGCTGGTTTTTCACATCTGCCGTCACAACCTGTGAGGCTGCAGGGAAAAGAAAAAGTAATTTACCAGCCTGAAGCCAGTGACGAGTGCTGAGACATACTGTACACAAATACCGTACATACTATCTCAACTAAAGCTGCATGACTATTATAAATTATACAGGAGTGGATTACACAGTGTAATAAAATATTAGTCAAACATGAGAAGAGCATGACTCATGAAAAAAATATTTTTTTACAATGATCCAAACCCTCTCATGTAGCGAAGATGATGCAAACACAAGAAACTGACTGTGGTATTGATTCAATAAATATGATTTGACTCGTGGTCATGTCAGTGCACGGACGGCATGTTCTGCTGCTGTGAACTGAACGGCCCTGATCTCAGAATCAAGATTGACAGCTGGACAAAAATGTGGTTATCCAATTTTTCACCGATCACAGTGGCAGCCTCCCCAAACACAGGCTGTGTTCACATAAAAAAGAGCACTTTAAAGTGAGAAGGTAATTAAAAATGTAACAAAGGAGCATTTCAGCAGAGACATGGAACTGGGAGAGGCAGGGAGACAGCGTGACGGGTGATGGAGAGCTGTAGAAAGCCGTGTTGGGAGTGAGAAGGAAGCGAGGGAGGAAGAGCGAGAGAGAGAGAGAGAGAGAGATGAGCAGCGACTCACAAATCCTTCATTCTGCAGCAACCATAATTAGGAACCATTAATGAAAGCAGAGATGAAAAGGTAAGCCAGACTCTGTGCTCCACTTATGAAAAGATTTAGAATGATTAAAAGTCAGAATAAGTCTGAAACTGCGCCTTCTCTGTAGCCTTCAGACATGCACACACATGCACACACATTGACACCAGACAGCAGCTTGTTAGATTCTGATTGGCAGTGCAACATCCGCAGAGGTAATTGGCACATTTCTTGTCATTAACAACGTGAAATTGCCACATGTCAGTTGTCACAGACAGAGTGTGTCATTCTGTCAGATGCTTCCTGACACAGAGGACGACAATAGGACAGAGATGGAGACAGACATGAGGACGCTGCAGGGACGGTATCTTTGGTGCCAAAAGATAAATGAAACATCATCACAGGGAGACTGTCAGAGAAGAACAAATACAAAGGGAACAGAAGAAAATGCTCAAAACATAAGGAGGCGACTTTGTCTCGACAGAGTGAGGAGCGAAAGAAGGGAATTTGTACGATCAATAATTTACCAAATCCTATAATGTCCCATAATTTGACTCTTTCATTACGTGGACAAGTTAATAAACACAACACATTACAGAGCCTGTTAATATATATGTGTGTTTTTAGCACACCCTCTCATGTACACACAGAACAGATGCGTGATGTAGCCCATAATGATCTAAACGGCAATTAATAATTAGCACCCTATAATTGTCTTATTACACTGTTAATGAAGCAGATTAGCCTGAGCTACATGTCAGTGTTAACTAACTGTGGGCTAAATAATTTCCTTCGAAATGCAATTTTTTGTGGTCGTTGGTACACATTCAAACAAGGCAGGATTACAGGTTGTAACTGAAAAAATAAATAAAGTACTTCATCAGTACAGATGATGAAAGAGTGACACACACACACAGACAGTAGTGAAGGTTTACATACAGCATCTTTCACTGATGTGTTTTCTGAGTCATTAAGACGGTGGCGATGACAGAGTGTGTGTAGAGGCAGCTCATCTGTTTCTCATCTGTATGTGCAATGCCTTCTGGGAGACGCTGAAACTATTCTGAGCTTCCTTCATAGATTTATGGTTCGGTGTCTTACTACATGCAATCACTATTAGTACAAGTTTTAAAAGCACACTAATTCAAAGGACAATTACACAACAGTTCTAGCTCACTGTTTACAAACGAAACCTTTCTCCCTCCTCCGCTCGCTAATAAAGACATTTGTAATTCATATGCATCGTTAAGTCTGTCAGGTCAATGCACTGGTAAATCATTACCACTGTTGTATGCAATTTTGATCCTCTAACACAAATACTTTGTAGGAAAAACAAGTCATGTATTTATCGGACTTTACTTTTAGTTTTAGTCACATCTGTCAAAGATGTCTTCATTCTTTTTATGTCTTAAGGAAAGTTTTTATTATCCAGCCATGTAATTTTTTTAGGGGTGCAGTAGGAGCGTTTTGTAGTCAGAAATATAGACAGTGCCCTCTTGTGGCCATGGATGATATATATGAGTATATTTTGATTTACAAGTTCCTACAGAATTTAAGTCGCAGAACCAGTTGTATTACGAAAACAGTTCATGGAACAGACAATACTGTTTTTATGGAGACAACAGAACTACAACTACTGCAGGGCAAAGCAATGCATCTTGGGAGCAGAAGCTTTTATGGAGCTGTAGATCTCCAAATGTTTTTTTTTTCTAATATACTAGTACTCACTCAAGCTCTTATGGAGCTGTAAATCTCCAAATGTTTTGTTTTTTTTCTAATATACTAGTACTCACTTAAAACATTGATGAGAAAGACAAAGATCAACCAAAGACAAGAGGTCAGGGGGGGATCACATGAGCCATGGTTATTTAAAGTTATCATTTTTTAAATGTGTTGATGTTTGTTGTCTATTATCTTT